GCAAAACGTCATTTCGGCGAAGCGTCCTCTCGGTGAAATGTTCATTCGGCGAAACTTCTTTTCGGTGAAAGGTCCATGAAATGGACATTCAGCGAAGTGGCCGTTCTGCAAAATGTCCTTTCGTTGAATTGGCTTCGGCAAAGGGGGTTTCGGCGGAACGGGTTTCGGTGAAACGTACCGTAACCCGCTCGAAAACTAATTATTTAAACATAAATATAAGCTTAAATTTATATATCATTATTTTTTTATATTTATAGTTGCTAATAAATTTATACTAATTCTATATAGTTTAACTAAATTTTGCAAATGCTATAAGATAACTTTTAAAATACCATGAATGAATTTTGTCATATTTTTCATATACCTTCAACGATTTTGCAATAAGAGATCGTGTGAATCAAGTATCTTAAATCAATAACGATAATTTTATGCGATAGAAATTTCGAATATTATACAGAACGTCGACGTATTTTGGGAAATTTTCAATAATTCTAATTTCGTATTAGTCATAATCCCGAATACTTTTGGCATCTACATAAATTTATATTTTTATAATTTACTTTTTGATTTTTATAATTTAGAATGTTAGAGGACATATATACGAGAAGAAATTCAAATTCGAATTTATATTGTCAAAATCTTTCGCAATTTAAAAAGTTGCCAATTCTTCATATAGTATTTGATCATTATCATAAAGGAAGATTATATCCATTTTTCTCTAGCAAACTGTAATGGTCCGGATATGAAAAAATGAAAGCGCATTCTTTTTTTTCTGCATAGTAGACAATACAATGCTAAGATCTTCAAATCACGGGTATTTAGAAATGACGTCAAAAATAATTTGCTTTGTTATTTACGAATGACGTTGCTGATTGTTTCATTGGCTAATTTTTGTTTTCGATCATCCTTTGAAGAAAATAAAAACGAGGATTTCTCAAATTCTTTTACCGTTATTGTGTATTGTTATATGTAATAATTATTTTAAAGAATTTTTTCAAGAAAAAAAAATTACATTTTAATATTTAGGATCTTTTAAAGGTATAGGGAATCACGTGGTAATTTCATATTATCGATATGGCAAATGGTAACACTAATTTTCTGCGCAACATAAAGTTTTGTAATACTTAACGTAAAGGGATAAAATTTATATATTTAGAAAGCCACGAACCCGAGCAACATTTTACAACCTTAAAAAACTTTATTATTTAAAAAACTTTTGAAAAACTTTAGTATGAAGTTGCGAATGGGAAACTATTTTTGCGAATGGGCAATTTGGTATTCTATTGGTTTCCTATTTATTGGTATCGACTCATTACATGATTCAAAGCTTTTGTAATATACAGTTATTTTACGCTTCCTAAGGTATCTAAAGTCTTTTTTTTTTTACTAAAAGCAATTAATTTATTTTAATAAATAGAAAAACACGTATTTATTTTATTCTTTATAATAAATTTAACGATAAAAAATTTTTTATTAAGTTTTACATACGCGACATCGCGACGTTGTTACTTTTTATTTATCCAGTAATACCACGAATCTGCAATAACATTTTCTTTTATTCCAGCTACAAGTCCTATTATAAACATATTGGCTAACAAAGTTTGTGCACTTGGTGAAGAACGGTAAAGTGAAATTTTCTGTTTTACATAACCACGTACTACCAAATCTGCAAGCATATTAGCCACTTATTTTGGTTTTCCAAATTTTGGTTTTTGACAACTTTTATATGATTCCAATTCAGTTAACCCTGATTCTCGAATTTTTCTTGTATTTGATTTACAAAAAACTTCTACTATATCATCTTCAGTAATTTCACAATTAGTATTATTTTTTATTTCTTCAATAATTTCTAATAAATGAAAAATATCATCAATGCAATTTCCATAAGTAGGCCGTTCTTTTATTCGATTTCTACAATTATCACACTTTAAGCAAGGAGCAGGAATATTATCACCATTCCAAAGATGATAACGATTTATTAATTGAACACAGCATTCATATTGATTTTGACAAAATAAAAGAACTTCACAAATTTTGTGTGTTCCAGTATCAAGATAGCATGTCCGTTCACGTTCATCATCAGCTATGTTTTGATTATTAAAATACCTACAATATTCAAATACAGTTAGCGTCAATAGTATCAAAGAATAATTTCAAATTAGTCAAATACTTACGTTTCACAATTTTCAGCCAAAATCGCAAAATTTGTTTTTAAATCTTTCTTTACTGAATAAAATATTACACTTTTTGCTTCATTACCATCACGTCTGCCCGTCCGATATGCTGTACCAAATTTGCTGCACATAAAAAATTGTTAAAAAGAATATACTGTATATATGTATAAAAACAATTTTTTAAAAATATATTTATTACTCATGCTTAAGGGAGATACACAATGTATTACTAGATAGATATTGGGAGAATTAATCCCTATGCCAAATGCATTTGTTCCAATCATAATTCGAATTTTGCCAGCTTTCCAACACGATATAATATTTTCATGTTATTCATCGCCTAAACCTCAATGATATATACTCAGATCGTCATCTGGTAAAAGTGGATCTAGTATCGCAAAAAGGTTATCACATCCAATTGTGTTACACAGTAAATAATAATTTTTCCTTTTTCAACTCCTTTAATTAAATTCAAAAGGTCATTTGAAAAGGTTTCGTGATTATCTTTTCTTCTATATGCCTCTATAACTATTTCTTTATGTTCAAATGAAGAATTCTAAATTACAAAAAGACTTTCAAATGGTATTACGAGTGATACACAGATGTTTTAAACATCTTTATATGTAATTGTAGCAGTTAAGAACATAATCGGGACCATAGGCCAATTTTTTTTAATAATCCTAAATTCTTCCATGATTCTCTATTTAAAAAAAAATAAAAGTTAAGTTACTGTAATAAATTTTTTACACGAAAAACAAATATTTACCTAAAATTACTATAATCCAAAATACAATGAGCCTCGTCAATCACAAAATGCATTTTTGCTTTGTTATACATATTGTTAATGAAATATTGGAATTCCTTATTTAAACAAAGCTTTTCAGATGTAACAAATATTACTTTTATAAACCCAAGAACAATTTCTTCAAATATCTTGCTTTGTTCAATTTTTCCTTGTGTAGTATTCGCGTAAATTGACGCACAAGGTATACTAAAATGTATCAACTCCCGCTATTTAAATATAATTATAGATTAAAAAAATATTGAAAATTTGAAACCAATTTTAATAGTTATAATTAAAAATACCTTTTGATCTTCCATTAAAGCCTTTAACGGACTGATAATTATTGTTATTCCTTCAAAAAGCAGTGCGCAAATTGCGTAACAAAACGTTTTTCCTCCTCCAGTTTTCAATGATACTAATGTATCTTTACCACTTAAATATGACTCTACAGCTTCAAGTTGTCCTTCTCGCAATTGATCATACCCAAAAATCATTTGTGCTGCTAAAGTTACCATTTCTTTCAGATCTAAACATTTTTGCTTATTAACATAAGTATAATTTTTATTTAATAAACGTTCCTGCCACCCTATAAGAATATAAAATAAGTAAAGAGAACATAAGCTAGCCACAGTTTTTTTACAAAATGTAAGGCAACCCTGACACTTGATAATTGCATCAAAATCTATAATTAATTTTGCAAAGAAAAGATAAAATGTATTTGCTCGTATTCTTTCCTCCGCTTTGTATTTGTACAGAATTAATTCCTATATATGAAAACATATTAGATAAAATTAAACTCTTACATTTGATTTTAGCTAATCTGACTAAAATCAATCTTTGCAGTTCTTTTCATTCATTAGCATAATTTGTAGCATGTTCTTGATTATGTTTAACTATAATACTTCAGTTATAATTTAATTGATTTTGACGTTCTCTGACAAATTTATTTATATTGTATTGATCATGAAAACTAAATACACATGATTGAGCAGCTTTACGTACTACTTCCATCATGTGATTGAGACTTTCATTATTGTCAATAATAGCTAATGCATGTCATGCTCAATAAGAAGCCTAAAAATCAATTTGCTTATCAACAAATCATAAGATTTTCCAGTTGAATACTTTATTATAAACTGTTTGATAATGAGTAATAAGACTTTATTGTATAGGAAGTTTAAAATTGTCAAAAGCATTTGCCAGAATCCTTCAATTTCTACTTTTGTAAAGGATTGTAATGTTAGAAGACTGCAATTGTAATTCTTCATTTTCCTTATATTAACAAATTTCTTTCCAATAAAGATTATGATTATCTAATAAATACTGAATTAAACCTTCTACTTAGATATAACGCAATTCTTCATTTGTTAGTGTATCTGGTTCATTATTCATTTTTTTAAACTAGCAGTAAATACACATCTGTTAAAGTATCTCATTATATGTTGCTTAAAGTTATAATAATACGCATACTGTTTTTTTACTATTAAATCCAAAATAAAAAAAATAAAAAATTTTATTATTAACAAATAATTACTATATACATACATAATTTTTTTTGAATATTTTTGCTTGCATGTTTGAAGTCCGCGTAAATTTTTTATACAACAGGAATATTGGCTAAAGTTTTATTAAAATCTAGATCTCTGTCAATACAAACTTCAAGCAAAAGGTCTGATGCTTCTAATACTGAAATAATTTGCTCCAAAAGTGCAATTAAAATAGCATGTTCTATTTGACGAGAACTTGCATCAAAATTACTCTTTTGTATTATGACTTTTTCATCAGAATTTTCATCTTTTCCTTTTTTAGTGATAACGTGAGATTTTTTTATCATATGAAAGGCAATAATAGGCCTATGTCTATAGCTGAAATTAGATTATGCTTAATAATTATAATTAATCGCAAAAAAAAGATTTTTTTTAATTGAATTTTATGAAACATTTACCTTCAAGATTATCTAAATAAATAAATTCTCCACTAGCTTGCTTGGCATTACACTAGTTGAAATAGTCCAAATTGGCTAAAAATCAGATAGCTGATTTTAGGCTGATTTTGATACTATTTACAGCAGATTTGCCATATTTTTCGATCAGCACAAACAGGTGCCAATAGACACCAATCGACTCCAATTTGACATGGTCATTTAAAACTTAAATTCAATCATAAATCAACCTAAAACTGGCCTCAATTTGGCAACAATTCAAACGCTGATAAATGCTGATTAACATAGCCATTCAGCCTAAAATTGATCTTAATTCAGCATTATTCAGCATCAATTCAGAATTTAAATAACCATAAATTAGCCTAAAATTGGTCTCAATTTGGTATTAATTCAGTCAAATAAGTATATAAAATCAATATCTTATATTTATTAAATTTATTAAATATTATAATTTTATTAATAATAAAACCTAATATAATTTGCAAAAATATAATATAAATATTACCAAAACTCACTAATTAATTTCTTATCTAAAAAATATAAGTAAAAAATGGAAAACCATGTAAAATAATAAAAATATAATACATTTTCCTCCTAAAATCCCCTTAAATCATCCTAAATACTCATTATAATAATATTGTCATTTTCAAAAAAAAAGAATAAAAAATCAGAAAAATTACAAAATTCAACTTAAATTTCGTCTGATTTTGATAGTTGAAGGCATATTTTTATTATAAAAATTCAACTTAAGTTTCGTCTGATTTGATGGTTAGAGGCATATTTCTATTATAAAAAGTAAAAAAATCAGAAAAATTGACTAAAATTCAATTTGATTTTCATCTGATTTGATGGTTGAAAGCATGTTTATATTATAAAAAGCAAAAAAAAATCAGAAAATTCAACTTAATTTTCATCTGATTGGAGGTATGTTTCTATTATAAAAAGTAAAAAAATCAGAAAAATTCAACTTAAGATTCGTCCGATTTTGATGGTTGGAGGCATGTTTCTATTATAAAAAGTAAAAAAATCAGAAAAATTAACTAAAATTCAACTTAATTTTCATTTGGTTTGATGGTTGAAGGCAAAAATTGACTAAAATTCAACTTAAGTCTTTGTTCTTAGAACAATTTTTTTAGGATTTAGTGGAATGTAAAAAGAGAAAATTTGAAAATGATTGAAATTATTTTTTAAAAGTTAAAAAATTAAGCTTATTTATATAAATATTCCTATATACCAGAAATAAATTCAAATAGTACATTAAATCAATATTATTTTAGCAAATTGGTTTAATCCAAAACTTTGGTTCATTAGAATGATAAATGCATTTTACCTAAAGAATGATAAAACTATCATTTCTTAGATACAATAATACTATCGTCCCTAAGGAATGATAAAATTATCATTCTTTAGGTATGATAATACTATTGTCTCTAAGGAACAATAAAATAATTATCTCTAAAGAATGATAAAATCATCATTTTTTAGGTATAATAAAACCATCATTCTTTAGATATGATAAAACCATCGTTTCTTAGATACAATAATATCATTGTCTCTAAGGAACGATAAAACAATCATTCTTAAGAAATGATAAAACAATTATCTCTAAGGAACGATAAAATCATCGTACTTTAGGTACGATAAAACCATTATTTCTTAGATATGATAATACTATCATCCCTAAGAAACAATAAAATCATCATTCTTTAGGTATGATAATACCATTGTCCCTAAGGAATGATAAATTTTTGTCCATAAGGAATGATAAAATCATTGTTCTTTGGATACAATAATACTATTATTCCTTAGATATGATAATACTATCATCTTTAAAGAATGATAAAATCATCATTCCTTAGGTATGATAATATCATCGTCTCTAAGGAATAATAAAATAATCGTCCCTAAGGAATGATAAAATCATCATTTTTTAGGTACGATAAATCCATTATACCTTAGGTACGATAATACTATTATTTCTAAGGAATGATAATACCCTATCATTCCAATTAGAAGTATTAGTTATAAATAAGATATGTCAAATTTTGATATATATCAATCAGCTATAAGTATGCCAATCGGCTATAAATAAGATGAGTCAAATTTTGGCTGATTTTTGACTGATTTCTGATGTATACCAATCGGCTAGGCTGATTTTTGATAATTTGCCGAATTTAGGCTAAATTTAGGCTGATTTTAGGTTGATTTTCACATGTCTGATTTTTTGATTTTGACCAGTAATTTAATTTGAAGACATCAGATGCTTCTTCATTATTAAAAAATATGAAATTAAAAATATATCAAAATTTTTCTAAGTGTAAATATCATATTCAAAGTTGTTTAATTGCTGATGATGAATATAACCTTAAATTAAATAATAAAATAATTACAATTTAGACATGAGCAATGGTAAAAAATATTTTTAATTATAAATATTATAATTGAATATTGAAATTTTTTTTATTATTAGATTGCTAAAATTAAAGAAATAGATGTAACTCATCCACCTTTAGTTATGATTTTTGATAAAATTAATTATCATTATCCAAATTCTAAAAAGTAATTGAAGATTATAATAATATATATATTAATAGTAATATTTTTATATTATATTTTTTAATTCATTTATCATTATTATATAAAAAAAGAAAAAAATAAACTAAAAAATAAATTTAAATAATCCTTTATAAAATAAAGATTTGGCTTTATTTACTTCTATTACTTCAACTACAATTCCAATTACATCAATTATATTATCAAAAAAAACAAAGCCTAACTTAATTACTATTTATCTAAAAAAAAAATCACTATACAAATCTAATATTCAAGTAACAAAAAGCATGAAATTTTTTGATTTTATTAATTTTGTATTTCCAATAGATCCCTCACAAGATCAAAGATTTATTGTAAAATTTTCAATTAATAAAAATGAAAAAGTTTTTTTATCTGATCAAATGATTGAAGAAGTTTTTTTTGAATAACATGTTAATTTGTGGATTGATATAGAAAAAACTACTATTAATTTTAATGAATTTTTTGATGAATAATTTTATTATTATTATTATTATTATTATTATTATTATTTTATACAAATCTATTAATTTTATAAATTTTATTCATTTAAATATATTCACTATGCTAAAAATATACTTTTGATAAATATTTATTGATAATTATACATGCTAAATCTAAACCTTATATAAAATCTTGCATAGATTCGATCTAATTTTAATTTTGAAGTAAATAACTTTTAATGTAAAAAAATACTTATTCAATTTATAATTAATTATAAATAAATAAATTTAAAAAAAAAAAAAAATAATAAAAAAAATAAAAAAAAAATGACAAAAGTTGTAGTAATTAATATATTAAAGTTCTTTTTATTATAAATTTTCTTATATACCAGATTTAAATCTAGTGAATATAGTGATAAAAATTCAATCTGAACTCCTTTTACATTATAAATATCAAGTAAATGCTGTCTTTTATGTATAGAAACATTATCTAATATCAAAACACTATAGGGATCTGAATATGTATTCATCTTAGGAAGCTTTAATAGAAAAAATTAATTTATAATAATATATATTAAAAATATTTATAAAATAATAATATATACCAAATATGTTCAAAAAATAAGTATAATCATTACTATTCATAGGACCTTCTTGAATAGTATATGCTAGAAGACTATTAAGACATAATACTCCTTTTATAGTATATCATTTCTCACAAATAAAAAATATGTATTTACATGCATGTTTTTCTTTAAAATTCCATTCATAACATTGATAAAGTATTTTTTTATTATATGTAGACTCATCAGAAAATATAAGTTATATTAAAGAATATTGTGATATATGAATTTTAAAATTTAATTTATCATTTTTATTATATTCTATTGCTGGTTTAAACAACTAAATATAATAAATAAGATCAATAAATAAAATTATTTATAACTATAAAAATATTTAGAAAAATTCTTTACCTGTTTATGGGTATAATCAAGGTGATGTATTGCTTTCCAGATAGTATAATAACTAATATGATGTCCTAACCATAACTTCATTTCAGATTATAGTTCTTACAAACACCAGTCTACTCTCTCTTTCAAAAGATTTTCTAAATATTTTATATCATCAACTTTAAATATTCTTATTCATTCTAATGCTAATGATAAATTCTCTATATACTCATATTTTTAAAATTTTATAAAAACTTTAAAACTGAGTCCTTTCAATTATTAACTAATAAATATGTTCATTTAATTTTATTTTGGAAATTATACCAATATACAAAAAATACACTAATTTTATGTCTAAAGTGATATACAATAATAAAAAAAAATACAATAAAATTAATTGGCTAATATAACGTGTTTATTATTTTATTAATTTGCCAATAATCCAAGAACCTGAGAACCCAGCAACTTCTCAGCAAAAATTTTACCAGGTGTTCCGTAACTTATGAAATTTGTTGTAATATACAAATTTAACCTAGACTGGGCCAGGCTGGCATTTTAATATATGGCTTAAAGTCTGAGTTGAGCTGGGTTTCAAAATTTGGACTTATGCAAGTCTTTACATTACTACATAAAATTAAAAATAATTTAATTACAAATACAATAATTTATTTTAATATGATGCATTTTTCTTTAATAAAAAATGACTATATTATTATTATTATTATTATTATTTTGAAATAAAGGAATATAATCAATAATCAATGTTTTAAATCAGTTAAAAATTTTAATTTTAAAACATTACAAATATAATAATTTATCATATTATCAAATTCTATTATGAAATATCAACTGTACTATATCATACTAGTCTTATAAAAAGTCTATATATACTAGTTTTCAATTTATCTGATTTTCTTTAATTATTATT